AAGCAGTGGTATCAACGCAGAGTACTTATACAAAAATTCACCGATTTCCAATTTGGAAAAATCGGTGGATACATTGTAGCAACAATCTATCATGTTCTCATTTTTGTCAGGCACTCCGTTCGAGCAGTAGACAGCTCCTCCGTAGGTCTTATTCTTATCTCCGGTCCATCCCCAGAGTGCTCCCTTAATACATCCAGCGCAATCAAAGAAAAATGTGTCTGCGGATGCAGCATTGATACTGGCTGCTCTCTTAGGATCTGATTTCGCATATCTTTCCTTGTTCTTTGCGTTTCCGGGCGCTCCAAATCCGCCTTTGACGTAGATGGTCTTGCTGTTCACCATCTTTTCAAGCACTTCGATAAAGTCCATCAATTTCATCATCGCTTATTTCTCCTTCTTAAGCTGTTTTACTACCTGATTGCTGAATACTGCACAAGCAGCGCAGATGATACCCTGCACGATAGCTGTGAATATGGCAATAGCACTTACTCCCTCTGTGCCAATCACATATAGGCAGGACAGCGCAATACCTATTCCCAATAAAATAAGTGGGATGAAGTTATCTTTAATTGCCTTAAGCTTCTTAAAGATTGCTCCAAGTCCCACCAGTGCAACCACCAGGACTAACAGTTCCGGCTTAACATAGTTCAAATAATCCATTTTCATACCTCCTTAGATTGCTTTTACGATAAAGGTACACAATGCAGCCACAAGCGCAGATATAATTCCGCTGATTACAAGCCATGATGCATTATTCCACTTTTTCCCAGGCTCTTCCTTAATCTTCAACACATCTGTCTTAAGTTCTCCCACTGTTGATATCAAGGTATCTTGCTTCTGGGCCAATAGCTTGACTGACGTAATCAGCTCATGTATCTGGTCAATGTTCTTCTCAGCCTTATCCATTCTGTGTTTAAGACTTCCGATTTCGTTTTCATGATCGCATAGTGTTACTTCTACCTGTGTTTCATCCATCTTCTTCTCTCCATTTGTCATTTTGTTATTTAATTGTCTTTTTTTGCATTCCCCACAGGTATTTTGTTAGTGAACAATAATTCCCAATAAAAAACCACTAACCTATTGCGATTAGTGGTTATTGAGTATTGCTACTGGGCATATGTTCGCTACAAGCGACATTTGCGAAGATTAGAATGATTGCCCACATTCACTTACTTTTGACGTACATCGCTTGCACTCAATATTTACATAATAACAATAACTATACTGGTTTTCAATCTTCTCTTTTTGTCAAAACGTTATTTAGTTGTCCTATTATTGCTTACTTTCTCATTCTTTAATCCTCCGTAATATTATTATTACGCAGATTTACATTAGTTTGATTTCTGCGATAATGGCAGATGTGTGTCCCGACAATTTGACCACATCGTTTTGATTAACGGGGAGCGTTATTACTTCTCGTCCATAAGGGACTGTAAGCCTCTGTGTTGCAACACGGACATCATTGACCGATATTGCAAGTGTAGTATCGGGATTGCTCGACCATCCTCCTACGTTAATTATTGCCCATCCGTCTCTCTCCATTGTGAATGACACATCAGAAGCATAGGTAGAACCACCATACGTCTTGACGTTAAGGTCACGTTTGGGAGTTTTGTTGATAATATCATTATTTATCTGATCAAGTCCACTCTCTACCGTTCCTTGTCTATATGTTATCTGCGAAGCTGTCTCTGCTTTTTGCAGGCCTGCTCCAAAATTTGCTTGATTATCTTCTACATAAACTAAGCTCATATGCCCTCCTTGCCTATTTATACATTCTTTTTATTAGATATTCCGTGATTTTTAATTCCACAATATTATTATTTCTCTGACTTATACACGGTCGTAAACGGAACAGTATATGTCGCTCCGTTTACGGTCGCTTATTTTTTAGCAATTAGTATTCTAATGTTCTGACTCGCAAAAATGGCTTCTGTGTTCCATATAACCAAATTGTTATCTCTGTTGATGTCGCAAGCAAATCCGTCTCTTGTCAGCATATTGTACCAGCTACCGCCATACTCACCCATAACTGATAGAATGTAAGTATTAAGGTGTGTATATCCACTCGGCAATGTAATAAAGGTCTGTGTGGAAGCATTGCCCAATACTCCTTTAATCTCATTTATTCCAACACCGTTCAATTCAGTAATATCATTATTATTCTGAACAACTGCCCCAGTCAGTGTTCCATCTGCAATTGCCGAAATATCATTGGCACCTATGATGTCATCAAGGTTGTCCTTAATGATTGCTGCATCTCCGTTTTTAAGTGCTCCGCTCTGGATAGCTGCATTGACTTCATCCAGACTGTTGAATATAGCAAGCTTAGATCCACCGCTGCTGCCGCCATTGAGAATTGCCTCTTTGATTGCATCCAGCTTTGTAATCATTTGTTGTGCTGTTTCGTCTAATACTATTGGCTTTGTAACATTTCCCATGTTGTTAATCCTCCTCGAAAGTAATGCATAGCATTCCGTCTACTACTGACAATGGAAGGTCGCTTCCGCCTCCCTGTGGCGCATAAAGCTCCGTCTTTGTGCCACCTACCGAAATATCCGCAATATGTACACCAGATGTCTGAATCTGTGTCACATTCACTGCCGGAACATCCTGTGCAGTGATATATCCGCTGTCATTGGTGAGTTCGCTTACATTGGTAGGCAGTTCAGTCTTTTTCGCATAATCATTCAGCGATTGATGCTCTGTCAGAAATGGCTTTGTACCGTCTCCATCATTGGCGAGGTCACTGGTCTTGGTTGGGATAGCCGGTATATCGCTTGCAGTGATATATCCACTGTCATTAGTAAGCTCGCTTACCTTAGTAGGCACATCTGTCTTTTTTGCATAATCTACTAAGGACTGATGCTCTGTGAGGAAAGGCTTTGTGCCGTCTCCGTCATTTGTAAGGTCACTGGTCTTAGTGGGCAATTCCGTTTTCTTTGCGTAATCTGTTAAGTCTGTGGATGTGTCTCCGGTCATAACAAATTCGCTTGTGGTGTCATCACCGATTCTTTGATACTCGTAATATTTGTCAGATCCTTTAGCACTGGCATCCTTAAGCAGATAGATAACTGTAAAGCTTGCCTTTGTAGGATCTGCAATATATTCGTCAATCTCACTCTGTGTAGCAATTCTCTTTTCCAGGAAGGTCAGCTTTGATACTTCGGTTGCTACAATCTGTTGTACTTCAGTCTTGGAGCACTTCTCGGTCAGCTTGTGGGAACCAGCAACAAAGTCCGTCTGCGCTGTGGCTGTTCCATTCTCATTGACAGCAAAGGCATTTTTCTTTCCCGAATAAGTACCATTGCCCACCTCGAACAAATCTCCTTCATTCGGCGCATTATACTTACCTATTGCCATCATTGATGAGTATGGGGCTTCTGTTGAATATCCACCTGCAAAAGAGTATGCTCCTTTTGCTTTTGTGCTGCCTCCTTGCGCTAATGAGTAATTGCCTTCGGCGACTGTATCAGTTCCCATTGCATGGGAACCTGTGCCTTTTGCGGTGGTTCCGTCTCCTTCCGCAAAAGACTTAGCTCCGGTTGCTGTTCCATTAAAGCCCAAAGTAGTTGAGATGTTTCCTACTGTAGTTCCCCATTTCCTATTCATTGAGAATGAACCATTACCCTCGGGGTTTGCCTTATCCATTTTCTTTTCGAGGTCGGCTGGGGTGACTCCACCTCCGCCTCCGGCCATAGCGACTTTGTTATTGGTAATTGCCATAATGGTTTCAGGACTTTTTGTCGCATTGCCACTGACCTTTTTAATTGTGTCAGCTCTAAATTCGTCCATAAATAGGTCGAATGTTCTTTCCAGGACAAGTACAATCTCTGATACATTGGGATTGTATGGATTCGTATAGGCTACATAGTCACCACACTGTACATAGGGCAATGAATAATGCCTTGCGGTGAATGGTGTATGCGTTAAATCTTTAATTGCGTTATACAGCACCTCAGCACTGGCAGTTTTTCTGATGGTCCATCCATTGGCAAAGGCATTTGCCTGAACAATATATGGATGCGTGCAGGCTCCATAGTGTCTAACACCACAAACAACATCGTCAGCCTCAGACGTCACATAATCAAGATCATCTGTGTTGGTGATGATAACTCCATCATATTTTTCAAGTGCATCGCTATTGTCAAATGACTCATATACGGAATATGTGTGAACAATGTTTGGATTTTGATTGATGTATACAGTCTCAAACTTTCCGTCCGGATCAATTCTTCCTGCGCATCCGTTAAGTTCACAAGCATATTCCAGCAATTGTGTAGCTGATATATAGTCCACATGGTTAGGATCTGCTGCCATTGTCAGTTCTACTGGCAGTCCCCAATTAACATTTCCTTTTTCAAGTCCAAAATGACTGAAAAAGTCATCCATAAATGTTGTGAAATTGCAATCTGCATGAGTATACAAAAAGGACGTAGCATCTATACTACGTCCTTTGGTAAGCCAATCATAGGCAACTATTTTTAACGAACACTGGTCTCCTATGTCTTTAATTTCCAATTGGCCTATATATCCGGAAAATATATCTAAATATCTGTAAGTACCTTGAGTGTTGTCTCTTGGCCTAGCCATTGCTTTTATTTCAATCGGCTGGCCATTTAATATTGTATTGACAGATTTTGGGATTATCATTGTGATTTCGGCAGAAGCCGCTATGCACGAGCCAAAGGCTATTCCATTTTTTTGGCTTGACTGATGTACCCTGAGGCTTGTGATATTTTCATTGGTATAACCTATGTCAGCACTTCCCTTGAATACAACAAGTGCCTCTCTGATGCTCTCCTCACTGTCCCACAGTCTTTTCTCTTCTTCGGTAATCTGTAACATTATCTTTCCTCAATCTTCACTGTGAATTTAGCCAGCCCATCTCTCGTTCCCACTGTCATTCTCGTAGGTTCATATTCCAAATAGCCAGAAAATGTGAGGGCCTCTATTTGCTCATAGTGTTCATTGTTGATGGTACATTGAATCTGTACTGCTCCACCATTGGCAGAAGTCGGTTTGCTTGCGTTAAGGAATTGTACAAGCTCTGCATTATTCCGAAAATACATCTCAAGGGTGCCCTCTACTCGATAACGGACAAGCTGTCTCCTTTTTTGCATATTCAGCCCTGTATATTCCTTATACAGGGGCTTTCTGTTTACCTTATAACTTCCCATCACTACATTTCGTGTGAAGTTAATGTCTCCAACCTTGAATACCATACGTCCTCCTAAAAAGCACTTATGCCTCTCTCATTGATAAAGATGTCATTTTGATTGCGTACCATATTGAACAGCCCTCGTGCATCACCCTCCAGGCTTACGTTCACATTGGATGATTTGCTGGCAATCGCCGGCAGATACTCCTCCATCATATTGACCATGCGTGTCATTGACATATTTGACTCGCTTGCTCCTGGTGTCACTGAATTGTCATACATTGTAGAGCTGATTGCACTGTTGATGTCGTTCATAGAGGACTGCACACTGCTCACATAATCGTTGCTGGTCATGGATCCAATAGATTCAAAGTCCAGATTCTCTTTTGCAGTGTTCATCACCTTAGCGCAAAGGTCTTTCATTGCTTTCACAACTCTGTCCTCTCCACTTTTAATGCCTTCTGCAATTCCGTCTGCTATATCAGTGCCCATTGGCTGAAATTCTTTAGAATTAAGAATGGTCAGGGCATTGGAATATACATCCTTTGAGAGTGATTTTATTGTCTCAATGACTACCGGCTCACTTTCCTCTAATCCTACTGCCATTCCCTCAGCAATATATCCGGCAAGCTCTGCATATACTCTGGAAGGGCTATGGATGTCATTTTCATCCTTATAGGCTTCAATGGTTGCCTGAGCAACATCTCTGACAGCCTCTTCCACTTCCTGCTTTGAGTTATACATTCCATCAGACATTCCTGCGATAATGTCCTCTGACAAGGTAGCAAAATCAGCAGTAATCTCTTCTGCTACGGAATCCTCAAGCTTAAGAGCCTTTGCAAATTTGGATCCATAAGTGGAAAGCTCTACATCTGTCATCTCTACGAAAGCCTTAACATATTCAGCTCCCTCCGGTCCCATAGAGGCTAACTTCTCATAGAGATTTTCGTCTATTCCACGTTCTGCCAGGATTCCCAGATTGTCGGCCCAATCTTCCAGAGCCAATACCTGATCATCAAGATTCTTAATCAGGTCTGTCTTAGATACTTCTGTCCCTTTTGTCCACTCCTCAAACAGATTCATTTGTCCATGAATTGAGGACTCAACACTGGAATATAGGTCTGTAATTGCTTTTGCTCCCTCTGTTGACAGTGAAGTAAGGCTGTTATTTGCATTGCCACTCGCATCTGCAAGATTATTCATTGCATCTGCGTTTTCTTCTACTGCCGGAGTGTTTTCTGAAATATATTCAGTGACAAGTTGATACTCTTCCTCTAACTGATCTAAAGAGCCACCGGGGCCAGCTATCTTTTCAATCTGTTCATTGATGGCTGCGTATGCGTTTTGCGCCCCATACATAGCCAATTCAGCATCAAGTAAAGCCTCTCCTTGTTCATTGCTGAGTATTGCAGATGCTTCTGATAGTTCGTTATAAGTCTTTGTTGCCTGATTTAATTCCTCAAGAGCTTCTGCACTCTCTTCCTGCAAAACTCTAAGCTCTTTCTCTGCTTCATACTGTCTATTGGCTATATTGACGAGATCTTCTCGTGCTGCTGCCATCTTTGCATTCTCTCGGAGCGCAGTAGTGTTGATTTTTAGTTCATTTGTGCTTTGTGATAATGTCTTATTTTCGTCATCCAGGGACAAATTCAGCTCAGGGATCGCAGTGTTAAGCTCATCCACAGCTCTCTGCATTTCTTCTGTGCTTACTGTTCCCTCTGCATATCCATTTCTAAGACTTTCAACTCTATCTACAAGGTCTGATATGATTGAATCTTCTGCCTGAAGCTCTTTCCTATGGTCTTTTCTGGCGGTGTTTTCTTCGTTGATGGCATCCACAAGATTCTGAGAACCTTCACACAGCTTTTCTGTTTCTGCATCTAAGGATGAGGTTGCATAGGCTGAGGCATCTGTTGCAGCCAGGTATGAGCCTAGAGCCACAGCCACACCAACAAGCGCAGAAGCTAAAAGCACATAGGGGTTTGTATCAGATGCAGCATTCAATGCTGTCTGTGCTACTGTTGCTCCCTCTGTGGCAATCTGGTATGCCTTCATTGCAGCCTGTACCATGTTAATGGCTGTTGTGGCTGTCTTGAATGTGGCAATCCCTGCCACAATGCCCTTGATTGCAGATACAATGGCATCTGCATTTTCAACAACATCAGACAATCCATCAATTATCTTAGGCATATTCTTTTCGGTCCAATTCACAACCTTATCAATAAGGCCACCAACCGATTTCGATAATTTATTAAGACTGACGGATAACTGTCCGTTGGTCGCACTCTCGGTAAGTCTTTGGAGTGCCTTTGTGGCTCCGTCCACACCTTCTCCAAGTTCTTCCTTGAATGCTTCATAAGTGGCTATTTTCAGTCCTTCAAGAGCTGACTGTAAGCCTGTTACCTTTCCGGTAAGATTGTCCTGCATGGTCTTTGCCATACTCTCTGCAGATCCATCCGCCACATTCAGTGCCTTTGAATAATCAGAGAATGACATTCCTGCAGATTTGGCTGTGGCAGAAAGTCCATTCATCACGGTTTGGAGTGCTGCATACTGGTTAGTACCGGCAATACTCTTTGCCAGTGCGCTAAGCAAAGCAGTGGTATCAACGCAGAGTACTACATCAGAAACTCCCTGCAATATGTCTGAAAGACTATTCATATTGCCTTTCTGGTCGTATACTTCTACACCAAATTCGGACAATGAATCTGCGCAGCCTTTTGCGTTGGTTGCCAGTCTTGTCATTATGGTGTTAAGAGCTGTGCCTGCCTCTCCGCCTTTTAGTCCGGCATTTGCCATTGTAGCCAGTACGGCAGTGACTTCTTCCACTGAGAAGCCCATAGAGGATGCTGTTGCAGCTACATTTTTATAGGATTCACCCAACAGTTCTACAGTAGTGTTGGAATTAGCCATTGCATAAGCCATTTCATCCGTGAATTTGCTTGCATCCTCTGCCTTAAGTCCAAATGCAGTGATGTAATCGGTCACGATATCAGAAGCTCTGGCAAGATCCATAGAAGATGCTGCTGCCAAATTAAGGACTGCATCTATTCCACTCAAAGTCTGTTCTGTGTTCCATCCTGCAAGAGCCATGTATGACATGGCATCTGCAACCTCTGAGGCTGAATAGATGGTGCTTGCTCCTAAGTCTTTTGCTTTTCTGCTCATTGCGTCCAGTTCGTCATTGGAAGCTCCTGAGAGTGCTTTGACGTTGCTCATTGCCTTCTCAAATTCAGCTCCTGACTCAATGCAAGCGGTGGCTATGTTTTTAATTTCTTTGGTAAGTGATTTGATTCCGGAGATAATGGCCTCTGAGGCAAGATTTGCCTTGAGCACATCTCCAAACTTGATTGTCTTGTTGGATGCATCTTTGGTGCTCTCTCCGTATTCGGTTACAGCATCTCCGGCATCCTCCAATCCATTTTCTTGATTCTCGATTCTTTTATTTGTATCTTCAAGGGCCTTCTCGAAGTCGAGCATTTCACCCTTTGCATTATTAAGCAGTGGTATCAACGCAGAGTACTCCTCAACTGCCTTTTCATAGTCCTGGGTAGCTGTTGCAAGCTCAGCCTCAAGGTCTGCTACAGCCTTCTTCTGGGCTTCCATAGCATCAGCAGTGGTCTCAGAGGATGCTGACATCTTCTCAAAGTCTGCCTGAGCACTCTCAAGCTTCCTTCTAAGGTTTTCAACCTGCTCTGCTGCCTTCTTCTCTCTTTCAGTGGAAGTCTGCAAAGCCTTCTCATACACTTCCACCTTTTTGGCACTCTGTTCTACCTGCTTTGCGTAGATTTCCTGCTTCTTCTTAAGAGCTTCCAGACTGTTCTCAGAATCGGCATACTGCTTATTGCAGAGTGCCATTTCAGAGCGCAATTCACTCTGTGCTGTCTTAATATCTCTTAGAGCTTTCCTGTATTGTGCTTCACCCTCAAGTACAATTTTTGCGCCAATTGTTCCTGCCATTGCTATTCCTCTAAATCATATCTAAAGAATCCACTTTTGGCATTTCAGAGGTTTTGTAGATGCCTCTGTTTGTCTCAAAGTTAGATTGCTTTTTGTGCGCTTCGAATAGATCCGTCCACATTCCAAATGTAAGGCGGTTATATTCGTGCATTGTTAAGCCAAATTGACTTGTTGCCATATACATCAACCAAGAGAAGTCTATGGCTGAATCTTCTTGTTTCTCGCTCCCCTTGGTGTAGGTTTTTTTGTCTCAAAACACCTCTTATATTCATCATGCAAAATGGTTGCCAGTTCTGAATATGGTACGGAACATTCTGAGAGGATATCTAAGTCCTCCAAAAAGTCCCAGGATTTGCCCTCGTTGTAAGCCTTATAAGCAATTCCCTCATTTATCATTTCCACAAGTGCTATTTTGATTGCTTTGATGGAAGGCTCTACCAGTCTCATGCTGGGAGTACCATCTGAGTTATAAACTTGTGTGCCATCTTCATTCTTAATGTATTCAAGCCCTAACAGCTTGCGCTCAAATTCTGCTACAGTGCCAAATTCCGTCTGTAATGTGTCCAATACGTTCAGATCGCATAACATGGGATATTTATTGTCGCCTATGGTTATTTCATTTAATTTCTTCATATTATCCCCAAAAAGGGCGAGACAATATCTGCCTCGCCCTGCTTAAAAATCAACAACTATTAGGTTGTAGGTAACTGGTCCTTAATCCAGTTAA